ATAGATAGATAGATAGATAGATAGATAGATAGATAGATAGATAGATACCTTTCAAAACACAGCCTTTCAAATACTTAAAAAAATGTGTTTCCACAGTATTTTTCTGCAAAAAGATATTTAAATGTCAGTAGTAAGTAATACATGAATCATTAGAATTTTAAGTTTATTTACCCTTACCTAGATAAATGTATGATAATGACTGTAAAGATAATTTCTACTCTACCCAGATATTTATGGTATATTAGCTAGCTGTCAAATAATTTGGGTCTTTTTTTCGTTAATAAGGATACTTCACTTTCAGTTAAGCATGAGAATTGTGAAGGTATGGTTTATATAATCTGATATATAAAAAACACCTGTTTATCCTACTTTGCTATTTGTCTTTATCCCAACCAACTCCTGAGAAAAAAACCCTTTGGCTTAGCAGCTGCCAAATGTTAGACTTTTTTTTCACAAACTAGTTTCTATTTACACTAGATAAAAGCAGATGGGGGTGAGAATCAATTCTGCTGTATAGTAAAAGGGCAATCAGACAAAAGTGAAACAATAAAAAACATGTTTCAAAGTCAGTTCTAATATGAAGTATAAGATAAATTCTACCCTCCTGCTTACATTGCCAGTCTTTTGGTCTTTGTGTCGATTTCAGATTTGGAAGGAAAATAGTGATGTTTGCCACAATAGCACTTCAAGCAGTGGCTACATTCATCCAAGTCTTCTCTTCAAGCTGGACTGGATTCTGTTCTATGTTTTTTATCGTCGGGTCGGCCCAAATCTCCAACTATGTTGCTGCATTTGTCTTAGGTACATTCATGTTTTTTAATGTAAAGGTACATTCATTCTACTAGCTTGATACACATTCATAGAATAACAATGATAATTCAACATGAGTTTCAATGTGTGTTAAGGCACCGAGATATTAAGCCCACGGGTCCGGACGGTTTACTCCACGGCGGGAGTGAGTCTGTTCTTCGCTGTGGGGTACATGCTGCTACCCCTGCTCGCTTTCTTCATCAGAGACTGGAGGATGCTTCTCCTCTGCCTCACGCTGCCCAGTTGCCTCTCTTTGCCTCTCTGGTGGTAGGTGGGTGTGTGTGTCTGTTTTATTCCGGAAGCTCTGTAAGTTATGGCAATACCTTTTCAAACGTTTTATGTTTTGGTGTCACTGATGAATATCATATTAGCAGCTTTATGATCGGTGGTTTGCTGTTGTAGAGCACACATTTCCAAAGCCACCATCTGTGACTGCAGACATTCACAGATTCTATTTTTTGCTGAAGTTTTGCTGTCTGCTTTGGAATAAGCCTTTGTTTATATCATGGAAACTATTACAAACCACACAATGCAAATTGTACATGGCTCCGCCACTCTTTTGGAAACAGGCCCTGTAAGTTATAGGTTAAAAATGATGATTGTCTGGAACTGAATTAAGAGGGTATAGAAGTAAGATGAAAGGATCCATACATATCGACTAAGTCAAAGTGGTAACTTTTACAAATTTAATTGCCATAGAAAGAAACTGTAAATGTCAGTTTAAACATTGTTTATCACAGTTCCTTGGGATTAGACCACTCTTTGTTTCTGTTATGTAATGAGACAGGTTCATACCAGAGTCTCCTCGGTGGCTGCTTTCTAATGGGAGAATGAAAGAAGCTGAGGTCATAATCAGAAATGCCGCAAAGATGAATAAAATCGAGCCTCCATCTGTCATCTTTACTCCTCCACTGGTAAGATAATACCCATATTGCCGTGGAACACAGATTTAAACATTTCACTGGTTCATGTTATCATGATAACATTAAATAAACCCTACATACACAAAACCATAAAACCATCCTGCTGAGTACTAAATTCATTAGAAAGGAAAATCTGACTTTATCAGAGATTTCTGTGAGAACAAATTACTTCTGATAGGTTAAAAATGTTAGACTTACTGTCAAATAAGACATTCACAAGTAATATGCTTGGAATATGCAATAATACAATATTTATCTTTTATATTTCTCTCGAAATAAAATGAGATGTTTGATTTCACCAATTTCCTGTGACTGATACTTTGCTGGTGTAAATCAAACAAAGAAAATAGCTTACACTGACAGTGTCTAGGTGAGCTCAATGCATTGCAGCACTACAGAACGTGTAGACAAAAAATTATACAAACAACAAGCAAATTAATTAACACTATTGACAACGGATGTGAAGCCATATCTGTAATACCACTAACTGTAAAAGCTAAGTTAGTGGGGTTTTGCACACACAGATATCTCATCCAGCTTGACATACAAAGTGGTGTTATGTGTTCCACTTCCAAGGTTTGTTTTGATTAAAAACTAAAGTTGAAGAGCCTGTTCACCAACACAACAGTAAATCAAACAGTATTCAGTAATCAAATGGATTTTTCTCAGATCCACAAGTTTTAAAAATGCCATTGGGGTAAAAGGACAAAAACGAACTAAGCTGAACTTTTAATGCCAGAAATATTTTCCCCTTCAGTTCAGGTACAGTTCATGTGACACTGAAGTATTACTTCAGCAACACAAGCCCCCTCTTATTACATTATTTCTGGACCGAAGGCTTTTTCTAGTTAAACTGTTGTCCCTCACGCTCTGCTGCCCCGCAGAAAGACGCTAAGCCTGAGAAGAGGAGGCCCAACAACATCTGTGACCTGCTCCGTACGGGAAACATCCGCTGGACCTCCATCACGCTGTGGCTGGTCTGGTGAGTCCCCGCTGTCCCAGCTGGCCTCCACATTCCTCAAAGTGACCACGAGCACACAGCCACCCAACACTAACAGACATCCACGCTGCAGAGCCCGTGGTCGTGCACGCAACGTGTTTGCCCACTCATGCATCATCTCAGCCACATGTCAGCCATGTTTTACTAACAACAAATAATGACCTGTCAGGTGCTGTGAACCCTGCTGCTAAGATCAAAATCCCTCATTATGTAAGAGAACAGTATGTCTTTACTAGTCCGACGCATGCTGGGTCTGGAAAACAGGTGCAGATGGAATTTTGGTATAGAGATTGCAAAGTAGAAAAAAAAAAAAAACGTATGAAGGAACTTTATGAGAGCAAAGGTTCTACTGTAAATATAACTGTTTGCTTGTAAAATGAAGAGGGTTTGTAAAAACTGCCTTTGAAACAGATAACTGGTACCATTTGACTGCTATCGCCCTTTCTATGAATGTGTGTGTAAATGGGTGAATGAGTAACATGTTTTAAAGGTCTTTCTAGAACAAATCTTAGATTCAAAGGGGATGATGAAAAAAAGATTTCCCTTTTGCATTAAAAAAAGTCTGTTATTGAGATAAATCCTTTTAGTACATAGTTTAGATTAACACTGTGACTGCTTTTCTTGTGTGACTTCTTTGGTTATTTGCAGTTAAGAAATTGACTTACAAACTGTGGCTTCAGTTTGAATTCACACAATTTGATATTGCTAAATCCCACGTTCCAAAGTCTCCCTGAAGAGCATGATATACACATTTCTTTTATCTTCATAATAAATGCATTCGCTCAGTCTGGACACTGCTCAACATACAAGTATGTTGAGCAGTGTATTTAAGTGTAGTTTTTTAATATGTCATTTTATCCCCATAGGAACACCCTTACTATTGCCTACTTTGCTCTTTCCCTGAACACGGCAAACCTCCATGGGAACCCGTACTTCAACTGTTTCCTGTCAGCTCTGGTAGAGTTTCCAGCCTACACTTTGTCTTGGGTCATGTTCCGTTGGTTTTCCAGGCGACTGAGTCTCTTCTCAACTCTTTTCACTGGAGGGTTGTTTCTGCTCATCATACAGCTCATACCTGCACGTATGACACCGCAGCTGGCAACAGTTTAACGCTGGTTTCATACAGACTTCAATTATGCCATTTAATCATTCATTCTGCCCGCTGAACCAATGACTCACAGAACTCAACAGTCTCACATTTTTTTCCCTGCAGACCTGGTCTATGTGGCCATAACGCTGGAGATGCTCGGGAAGTTCGCCGTGACGACGGCCTTCGCCGTTGTTTACGCCTACACGGCAGAAATCTACCCCACTGTCCTGAGGAACACAGCTGTCGGAGCTTGCTCCATGGCTTCCAGAATAGGCAGCATCGTTGCTCCCTTCTTCATTTATTTACGTAGGAAGGATGCATCTAATCCCTGCAGTGCATCACCTCCATGACACTTCACTTTATATGGTGGGCCCTGTCCTCATCAGCACAGAAAAGCTAAAAATGTTGAATAAAAGTGGATTAACGAAAGTAAATTTACTCATATTCCATAAAGTTAAAACACTTTCATCGAATCTCTCACCACATTAAACAAGGAGTACTTTATAACCTTTGGAAATACCAGGTGAAAGGACCGCCTGCTCAGTTCCAGCATTGAGTCACACTTTTAGTCGGCGTCCAGGGGATTTAACCTGCCTGTCTTTGAGCTTTTGAAAGAAAACCCCACATAAAAGCTTACACTGCAGACAGAAAGAAACAGCAAAAGCAACTAATGGTTGAGAAAAGTATAAAAGCAGTGTTGATTAGCAATCAGAGCAGACACAACAGTGCTCTGTAATCGCCCGAAGCCTTCATTTGAAAAAGAAACCTGCCTTTGTTTGCTTTATAGCGGCATTATAAACCAAGCTGTTTCTCACTGTCTGCCTCCCACAGGAAGCTATTCTGTTTCACTGCCTTACATCCTAATGGGGACCCTCACTACCCTGGCGGGGTTGCTGAGTCTCCTGCTTCCTGAGAGCTATGGAATGCCTCTGCCTGACACCATCACTCACATGCAACACTTCCCGGGGTAAATCTGCACCTCCAGACGAGAGACCGACATTATCATATTTCAGGAGTGATCATCAGTATTACCCGGCATTTTGAAATCCTTTGATTGAAATTTATTTCAAGATACTGTGTTTGACACAGATACATATCTTTCTATTAGAATAATTAGGAAAAAGATAAATATTTTTTTCTTCTAATTACTCAGATTATAACCCATTTGTCCTTACATGAAGAACGCATATCTCATGGCAAAATAGTATGCCAACTAGTATAGATTAATCCACAGAGCCAAGCAGAATCATTTCACTTTTTTAACTGTCCTTCTCACTTAAATTTCCCAGCGTTTCAACTTTCTGCCTGCCACTGGTAAATTATGAGTTAAAAGTATGTGGCTCGGCTTAGAAATTAAACCCATGGTTGGAGTAATAAGTTCTACAGTGTTACAGGTTACACATTATAATACTTGTGGCTTATGATTCCTCTCACACATAAACCTGAAAGTGTGTTCACTTTCAGATAAATGTTGCACTTTGACTGTTTTACATTAAAGCTTTACAGAGATAGTAAACATGACCTGTTTCTCACGTGGGCAACAAGTGGCTAATTCACGAAAAAGGTTTATATTCGCCCAACCAAAAATGTTGTAAGAACATAGTGTATATTAGACCTAAACACTCGGGTATCATTTTCAAAGATGCATCAAAGATGAACTTGATAAGAAATTATTTGCACTTAAAGAACCATATTGATGGGTTTATGACCCCAAAACATAAAGCTTCAGCCAGACAGTAGAGGAAGTTTCCTGTAGGATGATTCATATTTGGCTGAATTTCTGACCATTACTTTTGTAGTTCCAGATGCTGTCAGAAGACACCTTATTCGCGAACAGGCACTGAAGAAGAGGACAACACTGTGGAAGGGAAAACTCCACGTTCGAATAACAACCCTCAAATCTGATGAAATGACTATCAAAACAGTTTTTTTTTGCACATTTAGTGTAAACTAGACAGAAAATCTTAAAAAATTGTTGCCTTGCTAATGCATGTGGCTGTTTAAATGCAATATCTCCACAAAGGAATAACTATTCTCTTAATGAATTGTCTCTTCTTTTGCATTATACTTGCTCACCATCAATGCAAATGATTAACAGTTAGAACAATAGAATAGAATACTTTATTCATCCACCAGTGGGGCATGTTCAAACATAAGAAGTAACCTATTGCCTCAGAAAAGTAAAAGATTATGTCCTCATAGACTTTTTGTGTAAATAAATGTTAAAATAACATCAAAGACTGTATGCTTTATTAGTTCTTGAATAAACATGGTATTGGTAAAACTTTAGAAAATGTAGTTGGATATCTGGATTTTTGGTTTAATCTTTGTGAAAACAGAACACAAAAATGATGAGTAAAAATCATCCATGCTGCACAATGCCAGACTGGACACTTACCTATTAGTTTAAAAGAAGTAGGTGCTTTGGGCTGTGGTACTTTCAAACTCGCATTGTCTAATTAATTGAACACTGTAAAAATAAAGATTGTCGTAAACTCGTTCATCTCCAGAAAATGGTGAGTCAATCAGTCTCAACCAACTCTTCCATCAGCCCAGAAAATGTAATGGTATTGGTACTCATCAAATGCCTTGGACAATTAGGAAAATTCTTTTGTTTTGGAGTAATTTGAGTTTGGTTTGCAGACTTTCTTTTTCCAACGGTGAGTTTGGTGAGGATGCTGGATTGGTTTCCTTTTGGATGAAAAATGCTTGAAATACAGTTTGCTCATCAATGATGTTGAAAGGAAGCACCAGCTCTGAGTTTGTTGAACTCATCTCCTCCATTATCGATTGTATCAGTGTTTGTCCTCGTTTCTCTCCCCAGTTACATGCAAAAGTATTCTTGGATTTCCTACCTACTGTCTTAATCTTGCACTGTTTTTAATAATCTGTTAGCTTCGTCATGTTTTTTTTTTCCACTCTGCAGCTTCATTTTCAAGGCAGCCTCCACCCTAAAGAGTCTTTTGCGTGTTTGATGAAGATAGATTGATTATATGCTTATCCCTCAATAGAATTAATGTGGGATAGCAGATAATGACAACGCCATGCCGCAGTACCTCCAGTATTTAGGTTCTCGGGTGTGTCCCTGATCATGTTCACCTTGTTCTGGGTTTGGATAGGACTGGACCCCAAACCAGTGAAGACTGCAGGTTAAGGGAATTAGATAGATTTATTGAGGTAGAGGGAGAGTTGGGATGGTAAGAAGCCGAGTCTTGTCCTGTGGGCAGGGGTCGAAGGTGTGCTGCTGGCTAGATCCAGGCAAAGACTGAGGCGTCCATATTCTACCATGAAGTTGAAGCAATAAATTGACCTAGAAAACTAGGAAGGTGTTGGCATATGACTGGTGGTTGATTGCCTATGTGCTGGAGGTGTGATGAAGTGCAGAGTTCCAGCCTCAATCAAAAAGAAAACCGGCCAGCCTCCAGGGAACAAGAAAAATCTATATAAACCATAACCACCACAACTGTTCCCGACTGAAAGCTCCTGGGTCTTTCCCCTCTGTGCTAATTTTTCTTGATTTCTGTCAACTATCTAACATTACAACCTATGCTGTTGTTGTCTAGTGTTTTGACCTTGAGAACCTTGAGAATCTAATCACGTGGACTCATTTTCAAGTCCTAAAACCACCTATGGAACCATATATACTGTGTCCTTTCTGTCAGGGAGGTGGGTGTTGACGGGAGGACTCAGGTGCGGAGATGAGGGGAACAAGGTTTATTGAACAAAAACAGGGTGAATGTCCAGACAAAGTACAAAACAAAGCTGTGGCAAACTGTGGGCAAAGTATCAAAGCAAGCAAACAAGACTGTGGAAAAACTATGACAAAGTAACAAAATAAAGATTAACAAGACTATGACAAAACGTGACTATGACTGTGGCTGTGGCAGAACTAGGACGAAACAAACCTGGCGTGGGGGTGACGACGGACGAAAGGACAAGAGACAAGACAAGAAGACAAGAACGACCCCGCACCAGACAAGGGGAAACGAGGACTATTTAAACACACGAGGAAGGGGAACCCCAGGTGCACACAATTGGTAATCAGGACATGACGAGACACCAGACGTGACACTTTCTCCTTATTTGAATTTCTCTTGGTAGTTGCACATCCACGATTTACCAGCCTAGAAAGGTGACAAAAATCTGAAGAATCACTTCTTACTCAAGTTCCCCTGAAACAACAACTGCAACTAAAAAACTTTAAATGAACTTAAATGGGAATTACTACTAAATCTTACATTCTAAATAGGCTGTAATTCACTATTGGCTCGGCGTGAATGAAATCATGGTTTGTACGGGGTTGAAAAAATAAAATAACTGAAAAATCTAATACTGGTTAAAGGAAATCTCTCTGTGTACATCTACATATACAGTGGATGTGTAATATATATACATTTTCTGGCATTGCAGATAAAATGGTGACTAAAAATGTGACTATACCTGTATGTCCTCATGTTAGTTTCTATTGTTTGGGTTTTTAGTTTCCCAGATGCTGCAACTTGTGTGGAAGGAAAAATTAACCTGGCACCTACTGAAGTAGATTCCATTAGGATTCACTGTGGTTAGAGGAAGTAACTTAGCTTTCCATTACATTTATGTTTGACTGATGTGGTTAAACAACCACAGCAGTGTCTTTCTCCTCCCTCTGTTTCTCCTTCTTTTTCATCTTGTGACATCTCTTTCATTGGATCTTTCACTTTAACAAGATATGATATGGATTACTTTGTTTTTGTTTTTTTACTTTCTTCACCTAAAAACATTCTGTAGCAGATTCTAAATTAAATTATGACTTAAGGTAAGTTGGAAACAGTATTGGTACAAACAACTGCATGCTCTTGTTGGGTCAGCAGGTTTTAATGGTGTATGAATGAGAACAATGACTTTATTTGTCACACAGACTCAGAATCCTGCGTAGGTTTGAGGAACTGATATTGGAGCCTCTACATCTAGCGAACATGGTTGCATCTACACTTTTGAAAATTCCTGTCCTTTTTCTTCTCCTTTATCTTTTTGTGTGCTCTCTTGATATCCTTAGCTCTGCTTTTCAACTATCTGGAGGTGAGTGGGATTATTTGACTGTTATATTGCTTTTGAACATAAGGTTTTTTAGGCCTAAAGTACAAAGTTACATTTTCCGAACCAAACCACACTCTGTGTCTCTTTTTGATCCACTTCCAGGCAGGGCAGCTGGAGATATCTTCCAAAAAAATGCCATCCTGTCTAACCCGGTGGCTGGGTTAGTTGTGGGGATACTGGTGACAGTGCTAGTCCAGAGCTCCTCCACCTCTACCTCCATCATAGTCAGCCTTGTGTCCTCTGGTTGTGAGTGAAAGTGTTAACAGCCTTTAAGTCGTAACTCTGGTGGAAAGGCCACAGGCAACATTTGTATGACTATGTCTCTCTGCACAGTGCTTGAGATCAATTCAGCCATTCCTATTATCATGGGCTCCAACATTGGAACATCAGTCACTAATACTATCGTTGCCTTGATGCAGGCTGGAGAGAGAGAGGAGTTTGAAAGGTAGGGCTGTGTATATGTTTACCTGTATGTCTGTCTAATTACCTGAGTAAAAACAAAACCTGAAATTGTGGTTATTCCAGGGCCTTTGCCGGTGCAACAGTCCATGACTGTTTTAACTGGCTGTCTGTCTTGGTGCTTCTCCCTCTGGAATCTGTGAGTGGGCTATTGAGAAGACTGTCACAGGCCGTGGTTGACACTTTACAACTCAGAGGTGGAGAAGACGCGCCAGAACTACTCAAAGTCATCACAGAGCCATTGACAACACTGATTATCCAGGTAGTGGGTCAGAAATACGACTTAGAGAAAAGGGAAAAAAAAAAGGTATTCACTGATGAGCTACAAAGCCCAAGGTACTATTTCATATGAAGAAGTGAACGGCCAAGAAAAGGAAAATAAAAAAAGTTAAATGGTCTGGAATTAAAAAATGACCCATTAAACTGCTTTAGCATACCTTTTCCAAAACACAAGGATTTCTTTTTTTAGATGAGCTTTGTATAATTATTCTATAGTAGATTAACTCCAGTAAGCAGTCCTAACTGTGTTTAGCCTGTTAATATTTAAAAATGTTTAAAAAAAACAGAAAGTGTCCCTTCTGACAAACCATGTAGTGAAAATAGAAAAGAAAGACTTTTAAGGGGGGGGTATTGCTCTTTCTTTTTTAATTGACTGATAGCTTTCAGTCTTCCCTCCTGGAAATGATGATACAGGTGACATATTGTTGTACTTTACATGTTCTTGAAGACAACCCGAGACAATTGATTGTCATTTATGACATGATTTGTCTGTGCAGCTGGATCGATCAGTCATTACAGCCTTAGCTACAGGCGACCAGAGTGCAAGGAACAAGAGTCTGGTGAAGCATTGGTGTCAAACCACAATCTTCAAGGTACCTTTCCATGGATTTATCAGCTTGTTCTGGGTTGTCCTGAACAATTCCCAGCTATAGAAAATGTTAAACGCTTTGTTCCCATGTATTACATTGCTCTGAATTATAAACTGTACCTATTTTTCATTGTCAACAGGATGATGAAACCCCTTGGGGAACACACAACCTTTCTGAACAAACACAGAAATGTATGCAGTATTATCATTCTTTCGTTGTCTGCACATTCAGGTTTTCTGGCACTTCAGGTCCTATCTTGCTGTTAACCTGTGTACTTAAACATAAAATTTAACAGCTCAGTCAACAATCAAGCACGGACAGGCTCTGCAAGAGAAACTTTAGTTGTCGATTTGAAACTTTTACGAGTTGTTGCAAATCTTTGGTTCACATTCTGGCCTTTCGGTGTCATTTTTTATTCATGCTTTGAATTTGCATTCTTCTCCAAAGCTTTTCCAATCCCATCTCTCTGTGCCCAGGCAGGCACCTCTTTGTGGACAGCTCTTTATCAGACTTGGCGATAGGTGTGTTGTCGCGGGTAACGTATTCGATAGCGACTTTTATTTGAAAGTAATTTCTCAGTTCCGGTATGATGTCACTTCCTGTAAGTTCCCGTTTTAGTTGTTCACGGTGAAGGAGAGATGTTAGCTGAGCTCCCCTGAACTGTATCTTTCCATTTTGGTGTGGCATTGCCATTTTACCTTCTTTTCAATAAATCTCGCTAAATACGAGACCTGCCTCTTCCTTGGGGGATTTGCTGAAGAGACGAGTTTAGCTGGCTGTTGGCTTCAAGAACAGTACAGTAAAATGGCAGCCTCTCATCAGAAGATGGAAGAAGATGAAGAGGTTCAGCAAGAGCTTTCTGAGCAAGAGCAACTAAAGGACACTGATGCTCAGTCATTGAAGGTTAGATCCCATGTATCCGGCTCTCACCGAACCAAAGGCTCACGGGCTTCAGCAATTGGCTTGGCAGCTGCGCAGGCACGGGCAAATGCAGAAGCAGCTAGAGCTAGAGCAGCCTACAGCAGGAAAGAAAAAGAACTAAAAATTCAGAAAGCTCGCCTTCAAGCTGAATTGGATGCACTCCGTCACGACAGAGACGCAGAAGCAGCTATTGCCAAAGCACTCGTCATGGAAGCCGCTGCTGAAGAGGGAAGCTCTCGTGGCAGCTTGGCAAGTTTTGAGTCATTACCCGCGAGACAGAGTCAGCGAATATGTTGATAACCACGCTCACATGGAAAATGACCATTATGAAGAAGGATTGGATTTAACCCCTCAATCACCACAGCTACCTGCCCAACCCGCAAATGTGCACGGGCACAATGCTTCCACACTAGCACAACCAAGTAACCTTCCATACAATGGGATAGAGCAACGTTTTGGCCCACAGCAGCCACATATTCAGACTCCACCTCACGCCCACATTCAGCCTCCCGTACAGCAAGCACGTACGCAGCCTCCTGTATCACACCAGATTGACAGCAACCAAAGTGTGTCACAGCCTAACACCTCGTATTATCAATACTCACAAAGAGTGAACCAGCCTCAACTCAGAAGAGAGCCAGGGGTCAGTTCTAGCACCCCACGCCATCCGCCCAGCCAAGACGTAAGCAGCAGCGTATCAGATCTAGCTAAATTTCTGATAAGGAGTCAACTGGTGTCAAGTGGACTGAGTCGCTTTGACGACCAACCCGAAAACTACCTCAGCTGGAAAGCAACATTCACCAGTGTGTTAAAGGGCTTAGATATCTCAGCCAACGACGAAGTTGACCTTCTCATCAAATGGTTAGGCCCTGAGTCAAGCCAGTTAGCACGCAGGATGAAATCGGTTACCATCCACCCATCTGCTGCTCTCACACTGATCTGGACCAGGCTGGAGGAACGATATGGAGCTCCAGAGGCCATTGAGAAGGCGCTGTTCGCTAAACTGGATAACTTTCCCAAGATTTCCAACCAAGACAATCACAGGCTAAGTGAACTGGCAGACTTGTTGCTAGAACTTGAAGCAGCAAAACAAGACAGGTACCTCCAGGGCTTAGCATACCTGGACACGGCAAGAGGAATCGCTCCCATTGTGGAAAAGTTGCCATTCTATCTTCAAGAGAAATGGATGACATTTGGATCAAAGTACAAGGAAGAGAAAAGGGTTGCATTTCCACCATTCGTAGTGTTCTCTGATTTCATCAGAAAGGAGGCTAAGGCAAGAAATGACCCGAGCTTCAACACCTGCAGCTCAGCAGCACCTACCTGGAAAAAGGAGAGGACAGGAAACCTCAATTACAAAAACCAAGTCACAGTTCACAAAATCAACGTTTCCAAGGAAACAACAGAAAGCGGAACAAACCAAACAGAGGACCCAAATGTACATTGCCCAATACACAAGAAACCCCATCCTCTAAGAAAATGCAAGAGCTTCAGAGCAATGCTGCTCGACGACAGGAAAAGGTTCTTGAGGGACAACGGTGTATGTTTCCGCTGCTGTGCGTCAGTCTCGCACATGGCCAGGAACTGTGATGTTGCCATTAAGTGTGCAGAATGTAACAGCGAGAAACACCTTGCTGCGCTGCATCCAGGGCCTACTCCAAAGGGACCTAAGGTGCAGAGCCCCTCCAAAGACCATGGCGGGGAGTTAAACAATCCGTCAGAGCAATCTGAGGATGCACTAAGCTCAACTGCAACGACCATGTGCACCCAGGTATGTGGACAGGGCTTCAAAGGCAAGTCTTGTTCAAAGATATGCCTAGTTAATGTATATCCACAAGGTCATCGTGAGAAGATGAAGAGGATGTACGTGATCTTAGATGATCAAAGCAATGTTTCCTTAGCCAAGACGGAATTCTTCGAGGCTTTCCACATTGAAGGGCCATCACTGCCATACATCCTCACGACATGTGCAGGAGCCACAAATGTCACAGGAAGGAGGGCCCATGGCTATGTGGTCGAACCCCTGACAGGAGAATTGAGCATTTCCCTTCCTACTCTGATAGAGTGCAACAATGTCCCTAACAGTAGAGCAGAAATTCCCACTCCAGAGGCAGCATACCACCACAGCCACATGCAACGCATTGCTGACAGGATACCTGCTCTGGATGACTCTGCAGAGATTTGGCTGCTGTTAGGACGGGACATTCTCCAGGTCCACAAAGTGCGCCAGCAATACAATGGCCCACCGAGCGCACCCTTCGCCCAGAAGCACGACCTTGGGTGGGTGATTGTGGGCGACGTCTGTTTAAGTGGAGCCCACTCTCCGAAAACAGTGAGCACATTCAAGACATGCTTCATGGAAAATGGTCGTCCAAGCTGCATGGATGCTTGCCTGAATGTTGTCAAAGTCAAGGAAGACTTCAGTCAGAGCTTCAAGCAAGATAGCCTTTGGCCATGTCCTACAGTGCGACAAGAGGACCAACTGGGCAGAACAGTCTTCACAAGGTCTGACAAGGACAATCATCTGGCGCCATCTATTGATGATCTCACGTTCCTACAGCTCATGGACAAAGAGTTCGTCAGGGATGACAGCGGAAGTTGGATAGCCCCACTGCCATTTCGGACTCCAAGAAAACCACTCCCTAACAACAAGCGATATGCCTACGAACGCTTTAAGTCACTGCAACGCAACTTCCAGAGAAGACCCAACATGAAGGAAGACTTCATTGAGTTCATGCAGGGGATTCTGGATAACCACCATGCAGAACGTGCTCCACCTTTAGAAGATGGAAAGGAAGCTTGGTACCTTCCTATTTTTGGGGTGTACCATCCCCAGAAGCCTGGGAAGATTCGGGTCGTGTTCGACTCAAGTGCTAGCTTTGAGGGAGTGTCACTGAATGACGTCTTGCTTCAGGGTCCCAACCTCAATAATAGCCTTCTCGGAGTGCTTCTCAGGTTCCGGAAAGACCCTGTAGCAATTACTGCAGACATCAAGCAGATGTTCTACTGCTTCTTTGTGAAGGAGGAACACAGGGATGTTTTACGATTCCTGTGGTTCAAGGACAACAACCCTGAGAACGAGGTAGTGGACTACCGCATGACTGTCCATGTGTTTGGGAACAGCCCGTCACCGGCAGTCGCAACCTATGGATTGAGAAGATCAGCCCAAGAGGGAGAGAAGGACTTCGGCAGTGACGTCCGTGAGTTCATCAAGACTGACTTCTACGTCGATGATGTCCTCCGGTCCTTCCCCTCAGAAGCCGGAGCAGTGGATACCTTGACGCGAGCCCAGCAGTTGCTGAAAGGCTACAACATCAAGCTTCACAAGATTGCTTCCAACAAAGCAGACGTTATGGAAGCCTTTCCCACAGATGATCGGGCCAAGAGCATCGAGGCTCTAGATCTGGCTGTTGATGACTTACCTGTCCAGCGCAGTCTAGGTGTTGCCTGGGACATGACTAAGGACACCTTCACATTCACAATTCCTGAGTCCCAGAAGCCTTTTACACGCAGAGGCGTTCTGTCCACGATTAACAGCCTATTTGACCCACTTGGATTCTTGGCACCTGTGACAATCCAAGGCAGGTTCCTACTGAGAGAACTAGTTTCCCAAGGTACAGACTGGGATATGCCATTACCTGATGAGAAGTTCCTCAAGTGGCAGAGATGGCAGGAGTCTCTGCAGGAGCTGAATCAGCTGAACATCCCTCGCACTTATGCTTCCTTCCCAGTAACAACAGCAAAGTGCACAGAATTATGCGTCTTCTCAGATGCTTCAGTGAGGGCGATTGCAGCAGTAGCTTACCTCAGGGTAGAGGATGAGAATGGCCATACAGAAGTAAGCTTTGTGTTAGGTAAGGCCAAGCTTGCCCCTCTAGCGGAGCTCACCATCCCCAGACTTGAGCTTTGTGCAGCAGTGTTAGCTACAGAGATCGCAGACCAGGTCAAAGAAGAACTAGGCCAAGCACTGGGTAAGATCACATTCTTTACTGACAGTAAGGTGGTATTGGGCTACATCAACAACAGATCCAGAAGGTTCTATGTGTTTGTGAGTAATCGCGTACACCGGATCTGGCAGTCCAGTCACCCGAGTCAGTGGAGGTATGTTGCCACCAAGAGCAACCCTGCAGACCATGCCACAAGGTCAGTGTCGGCAGGCCAGCTGCAAGCAACCAATTGGCTTACCGGACCCAAATTACTGCTCCAGCCAGACAGCTCCTCATCACCTGACAATGACTTTCAGTTGATTGATCCGGATGTAGACCCAGAACTTCGTCCTGAGGCCGCAACTTTCCTGACCAAGGTTGGGGAGACTCAGCTGGACTCGCTACGCTTTGAGAAGTTCTCATCATGGGAGTGTCTGACAAGAGCTGTGGCGCGTCTGAGGCACATAGCCCAAAGCTTCCAAAACTCAGCACCTGACACAGGATGTGTCGGATGGCATCTCTGCAAAAAAGGAGTAACAGCTTCAGAGCTCACAGCCGCAGAGCACGTCATCATCAAAACTGTACAACACGAGGTGTACGCAGATGAGATCAGATGTATCCAGCAGGGACGAGACTTACCTGCACAGAGTCCTCTGAATAAGCTTCGACCTGTGGTAGACACAGAAGGTTTGCTACGCGTCGGAGGCCGACTCACTCGCTCAAACTTGCCATCTGATGAGATTCACCCACTCCTTATTCCTGGCAAGCACCATGTTGCCACATTGCTCATCCGTCACCACCACTTCAGAGTGCAACACCAAGGAAGACACTTTACGGAAGGAGCAGTGCGTGCAAGTGGCCTATGGATAGTTGGAGCCAAGCGAGCCATCACCAGCATGGTGTTCAAGTGTGTGATATGCAGGCGGTTACGAGGCAAATTGGAACAGCAGCAGATGGCGGACCTTCCCCAAGAGCGCCTAAAGCAGGAACCTCCATTCACCTACGTAGGGTTGGATGTCTTCGGACCCTGGGAGGTCGTCACCCGACGGACCCGGGGTGGTAGTGCCAACAGTAAAAGATGGGCCGTACTGTTCACGTGCATGTCCACAAGAGCAGTTCACATAGAAGTGATTGAGACAATGAGTGCCTCGAGCTGCATCAATGCCCTTCGCAGGTTCTTTGCAATTAGGGGACCCGCGAAACAGCTCCGTTCCGATCGAGGAACCAACTTTGTGGGTGCCAACTCCAACTTGAATGCTTCGACGGAAGCTGAGGAACAAAGTGTGAGTACTTACCTGTGTTCTCAGAAGTGCACCTGGGTCTTCAACCCGCCGCATGCCTCCAACATGGGTGGAAGCTGGGAGCGCATGATAGGGACGGCACGTCGCATCCTTGATTCAATGTTGCTCCAAGCTGGAAGGTCAAAGGTCACTCATGAAGTCCTGTGCACGCTCATGGCTGAAGTCACCGCGATAATCAACACTAGGCCACTAATACCAGTCTCCTCAGATCCTGAAGCGCTACTGATTCTCACTCCAGCGATGCTGCTCACGCAGAAAAGTGGTACTCCACCAGCTCCTCTTGCAGACAGCTCAGAGGCCAGTCTTTTGAAACATCAATGGAAAAGAGTGCAGGCCTTAGCAGAAACATTCTGGGCAAGATGGATGCGGGAGTACTTGAGCGTACTTCAAGTCAGACAGAAGTGGTACGCAAAGAAACAGAACCTCAAGGAAGGAGACATAGTGCTATTGAAAGACAAGCAAGCCAGAAGAAATGAGTGGTCCATTGGAAGGATCATGAAGGCCTTCCCCAGTGATGATGGACTTGTCAGAAAGGTGGACGTCAAGGTTGCATCTCATCATCCGCCAAAGATTTATCTGAGACCGGTCTCTGACGTGGTCCTACTTCTGGAAGCAGAGACTGTTTAGGTTAAGGGGGTGTGGCATCTAGGGATGCCAGGCGGGGAGTGTGTTGTCGCGGGTAACGTATTCGATAGCGACTTTTATTTTGAAAGTAATTTCTCAGTTCCGGTATGATGTCACTTCCTGTAAGTTCCCGTTTTAGTTGTTCACGGTGAAGGAGAGATGTTAGCTGAGCTCCCCTGAACTGTATCTTTCCATTTTGGTGTGGCATTGCCATTTTACCTTCTTTTCAATAAATCTCGCTAAATACGAGACCTGCCTCTTCCTTGGGGGATTTGCTGAAGAGACGAGTTTAGCTGGCTGTTGGCTTCAAGAACAGTACAATAGGGCTGATCCTCCTGGCTTGCTCTTTGTTGGTCCTGTGCAGCTGCCTTGTGCTGCTGGTTAAACTGCTTCACTCCCTGCTGAAGGGCCAAGTTGCAAGCATTATCAACAGTGTTCTTAACATAGGTAAAGAAGATACAGTAAGGATTCTATCTATAAGTAATTTAAATGTTTAAGAACATTTTTATCGATGACAGTTTTTTTTTTAATTATACAAATATAGTGGGCAAAATACAGTATATAGAAATGCAAAGTGAAAATTTCCCTAATGTTTCTTTTCCTGTCTCCTGTAGACTTTCCTTACCCTTTTACATGGCTGGCAGGTTATCTGGCTTTATTAGTAGGGGCTGGCATGACCTTTCTGGTTCAAAGTAGTTCTGTCTTCACATCTGCCATCACTCCACTCGTAGGTATGACACTCAAAAATACAATATCACTAAATCTAAAGTGGCCACCAAAATGTTATGTATAGCAGTTTTGCTGAGAATACAAAGAGTTTTTGATGCCAAAATTTAAAAAACCTTATTGGGCCCCTGCAAATGTTGGTAATTTGCAGACTGGCAAAATCAATTTATTCAATCTTTTTTTTTCAATGCAACCTTTCTGATTCAAACTAAGTTTGATTGTATGTATGGAATGTTTAAAAAAATATTTGTAAGATTATTTATCATGCTGTGGCCCTGCATGGATTGGTGTAATCAATATTGAACGGGCCTATCCTTTAACCCTGGGGTCCAACCTTGGAACAACTACTACAGCACTACTGGCTGCATTGGCAAGCCCTGGTGATAAACTAGGTGCTGCTACACAGGTATGCACCTGCTAATGCAACTAAAATACTATCTTATGTGCGATTTAATTTGAATTAAATTTTTGCAAGGGCATACATTTAAACTACACATTTCTAAACTGCCCAATCCCCAAAATTCATTGGAAAAAATAGTCTCTATGGTCCTTTTCTCTCTTGAACTATTTGTTTTCGTCCTTAGGGGTAATTCATTCTCAACATTAAATATGCATGCCTATATGTGCATAGATTACCATATTTTCAGAGACCTGGTGGATGAATATGTTGCAGAACATTCTTGAAATTGTGGAAACAGTTTTGTGCAGCATTTTGAAGTCTGTACTGCTCTCTAGTGGATGTGTTGCCTCACTACCACACCAACACCGGCCAACATGTGGTGGAGGCCAACATGCGAGCTTCACGTTGTTCGAAAATGCATGCAACTATTTCAATGCATAAAGCCAGGATGAATGAGTTCTTAGTTTCTATGCGTCTTACTTTCACTGCATATTTTCAGGTTGCTTTATGCCACTTTTTCTTTAACCTCCTCGGGATCCTGATGTGGTATCCTGTCCCAGCCACCCGTGTTCCCATACGAATGGCATGTTCTCTTGGCAGGAAAACTGCCAGGTATGAAAGGAAGCAGTTTCTGTGTCAATATGCGTCAGCTTAGTTAAATAAACATTTAATTAAAACTAACAACATAAAATGACAAACTTTGCACACTCCTGCAGGTACCGCTGGTTTGCTGTCCTGTGTCTCCTTGTCTGCTTTCTTTTGTTCCCATCACTGGTGTTTGCTCTTTCCATGGCCGGCTGGAAGCTGATGACTGGAATTGGCGTAACAGTCCTTGTTATCATTTTATTTTTTGCAACGGTAAAGATCCTCCAACTCCACAGGCCTGACTGTTTGCCACTCAGACTACAGAACTGGGATTTTCTTCCTGTTTGGATGACCTCATTGCAGCCTCTGGATGACCTCATCACCAGATTGACCCTCTGCTGTAGACACATCAACAGTAAATATTTCCGCTCCTGAGAATTAGCATTATTTGTATTTTCTTTTACAGATGTCACCTCATTAACTTCCTCTTCCTACTGCTTTACTTTCAGACTGCAATTTTAAGAAAGACAACAGATCATTAACATCACCAGACAACATTACTGTCACCCCTGAGAGAGGTGTAAAGGCAAAAAGGATAAAGAAGGGGGAAAACCAAGACACTTATGGGACACAACGAAGAAAATGGAGCAACCATGGGAATTGTAACTTACACCATGATAAGGAAATTGACACAGACAGTGACATGTCTCTAGACAACGTGCATCATTCCGAAGAAAAAGACCAAAACTTTCACGAGTGCATTCAACTCCCTGGCACTCGCTTGTAGCATCATTTTATGTGTCTGATACATCCAAAGACACTTTATGTTAATTTCACTGCTATAGAGCAAGTAAAAACCCTGAAACTCATACCAAGACAAGAAAAAAAATTAACTGGATATTTGACATACTCAGAAACAACCCCACAAAACCACAAAGCCTGAAAGTGCAGAAAACACAATCCACAAGAAGAAGATGACTACATGAAAGAGAGTTGAGCTCTGAAAACCAAGTGTAAAAACAAGGGCTGAAGATTTGTTTGAGGATTAGAAAAACCCAGCCCTTCTTCTGAGAAGCTGTTCTTAACCTGAGCTACTTTTGGAGCAGCAAACACAGAGCACAAACCTCCAACCAGCAAAGTATCACTTCAGAAAAAAGGAAATGTAACATGTCGCAACATTTCAAACACTATAAACCAAAGTGGGTGTTATAGAAAAGGTTTTAACCCTATAATACCAAATGTATCATATTTGATACATACGGTTTCTGAAATGTTTTGCGTCTGACACCTTTTGCATAATTTAATGGTAAAAACTATGCATAAAATCCTATTGTACACAATCAGATATACCTGATAACAGGGGCAGATGACTACACAAAACATAATCTTGACTTATTGCATAGTAATGATTTATTAATATAAAAAATGTATTTCTGTTTTTTCTTTTTACATATTTTGTTAAAAGGCCAAATAAAGACTTCAAGACAAAAAAAAGTAATTTTTTGTTTTGTTTTATTCTTGGATCGGGCTTTAAAGGTTTAAAATAGCTGTACATTGGTATATTCTCAAAATCTTTTACAAACAGTTTTTAGAGTCTACAAAATTTCCATGTATCAACTCAACTTTTGATGGCAAATTTGAGAACCAGGGACAAAGTCAGCTGGGTCTACAACTGTAGTCTTTTGGTCAGCAAGCCAAAGAGTAGCATAACAGTATGTGTCTGTTTATTTTTAAAAGGGGCAGGTAAAGCAATAGCAAACTCTGAGGTTGGATAAGCTGATACGATATATTGGAGATGTATTTTTTATCTGTATATACTGCATTTGTTTGACTGAAACAGCAACAGAAAGATTAAGAGAAAAAGAGAGAAAAGACAACATAAACTGTGGTGATACTGTGGCGTGTACTCTGATGAAAATAAAATCTCATGCATATTCCATCACAACTTTTATATAAACGTAAACATGGCCCAAGCGATTAGTTGCACCAATCCTGTTTTAAAAGCTTAGATTTTTGTGACCATTTGGCCAGGCTATGCACAGCCCTATATTCTTAGTGGCTCGCAACAACATTAGTGGGATGGTCCAAAGAGAGTTTAATAAAAAAAATTTTGGTTGAAATGCTTAAATTGCATTGTAACATTGCAAAAAAATCTAGAGTATAATCATGATATTCAAATGAAAAAGATCACAACAACCACCGTACTTATTAAAGATTTAAGATGTTTTTGTGTCTTATGTTTCATTGAAGATAATCAAACAAAATGAACGTGAAACTTGATGATAAGTTAGAAATTTGTTTGTTAGAGGGTTGAACGAGTTTTAGAAGTTCCTTGTTGCTGTATTTACAACAAAAAGGCCCCCCTTGTCCTTTCGAAGTATAGTACAGCCTAAACTGTACAGTAGAGACAATAAAGGCTTTATTATTGCCCTCTAACCTCACATGGGTACAGACAATAATGCCCATAAGCCATCAAAAGATTCAGATTTGCTCTACTAGCCATTAATAAAAACTGTCAAAGAAAGAGAAACTAATTAGAGGCTTCATCATCTCTGCTGCAACAGATATGGAAACATTCATAATTTCCACTTGCAATTTGAAATAATCATATAAAGAGTTTCACACTATGAGATAGAATGTTATTGCTTATGGTTTTTCATTCTTTTGGTAATTTCTTTGCCCAGTAGAAATCAGTTCATTTTGGTTATATAAATGATTCCTCTCAACTCTACTTTTTTACATTCAAGAGTTTTCTGAGCAGTGCACTCAGGTAATTTATGGTAAATCTTTGATACTGGAGGTTGGAGGTTCAGCCTGAAGCTTGAGTGTGGCGAAACAGAGTTTAATTTAGCATGATAGGAGTATATGGTGCGTGCAGAGTAGAAACCCACACAAACCATTTTTAACATTCTCACAGAGCTGCAACAAGTCTCATGGCTAAGAGCAAGATGGAAATAATAGTTGTATGCACATGCAGAAGTAAGAGTCTCTAACCCCTTCGAGCATACTCACGTATGTCACACCATATTTTGGGATGAATTATCTGTTATTAGCAGTCCAACATGGCATTGTAGGATCAATCCATCCAGCAAACAATCCATTGCTTTTACCATCTTAAGTTGGTTAATTAATGAAAGGTTATTTCATTCGTCAAGAATCAAAATGCAACAATGCACCTAACCATAGTTTTTTCAGGCAGTATCTCCACATACAATTTTGTTACACACGCACGCACGCACGCACGCACGCACGCACGCACGCACGCACGCACGCACGCACGCACGCACGCACGCACGCACGCACGCACGCACACACACACACACACACACAGACACACACACAGACACGCACACACACATACAATCAAGATATCAAAGGTCAATTTAATTCAGTTATGTAGTTCTCATTATCAAAAAAAGGAAAAGTTGCCACAAATCAACACTTTAACTCGCAAATAATTTTATCAGTAGCTTTCTACCTTGAAAATAACCGAAATAACTTGAGGCTGATGATTGTTCTTAATGAACTTTTAAACATTTGGCAGGTGATTATCCTTATTTCCATCAAAATGTAAAATCATCACAGATTGCTTAACACTTAAAGGGTAAAGTTGTAGATTGCATGTTTCAAAAAATATTCTATTCTGGTGGGACTAAAAGAAATTTAGATTTTTCCCAGTACTGTGTTGCAACTGTCTATCATAATCTAATAAGGAATTTATCTGATGGTAATTTTCTTTGGTGATGCACAGAACTCAAGTTAAAAAAGTATGTTTTTGCCAATATGCAAAAGCAGAATTTGCAGTGAGCCCAGTAACTGTCATGCAGTGTGATGATAATGTGATGAAAACAGAAATAGAGACAGAAAAAGCTGTGGTTTTGAGACTTCGGTCTTTCTTATGGTTTAATTTTGTATCCCCTTTGAATATGGTCACAAACTGAATATATTTACTGGTGTTTTTGAATAGAACGGAAAGCTACATGCAAAGAAACAGGAAGTTATTTCTTCGCAACTTTTTTAAACACACGTACACACAAAGATAAAGACATAAAGAAGTTGTGTAACTTTCAAAGAGTACAGAAACTACTTGCAATTCTGTTCAAAAGTGAATGAACAAAAGTGCCCCCCCCACAAGAACAGAAAAATAACCGATACTTCTGCATTAGGCGTGACTTTCTCCAATGATAGCCTTATACTTGGATTTAGTTGAAGCTGAAAATGGTCTGGTTCAGACATCTGCATTCTTACTGAGGTGTCTGTACGTTGCTCTGCTGACAATAGACAGAAGTCTTGAACTGCTGTTACTGGCCAGCTCTGCCATTAAAAAAACTGCTGACTCAAAAGACAAAAACAAAACATGAACAGCAAACTTTTGAAGAATCAAAATGCTCATAAAGATGAAAACATTTTTTATTAATCCAAATCTCGAGTGAGGTTACATTTTATGCCTGCGAGGTAAATCTAGCTGTCACAAAAGACAGAAATATGACATTAGTTCATGTTTTGAAGGTCTGATACCCAACTAAACACCGTGATTAATGTTCGCAAGGATTCAGTGGGGGAGGGACTAAAGTGAAACATTTGATAAAACACCCATGCTACTGTAGCAGATTTAAAGGAGCAAAGTTGCCACCTCCCTGTAACTAGGTGAGTAAAACAGACTGAAACACCAGAAGCTTCTTTTATGATGAGAGCGGGACTTATCTGCATGTCAGCTAGAACAACTGCATCTGGGTCTTTAAGGGCTTTTGTATCGTGTCAACAAACATGGACTGCAAAACTCAGAAATTCAATAATATTGTACTGGTGATGTGAAAACGCTTAGAGGATGTTAAAAAGGACGTTAAAAAGATACTTTTTGTCACAGCCCTCCATTTTAATCTGAAGAAAAAAGTTTAGATCAGATTATTTTGTTAAAAACTAAATGAGTTGTATCCAGCAACTTTTTTTTTTTTTTGCAGTTGCTTTCTTTTTAGTTACCTTTGAGTTTAGAAACTCACATACATATTTGTGACACTGAGAGGTAGCTCCCTTCATGCATCACATTTGCACAAAGTGATAAATCTAACTACCGGTGCTTTGTTTCCTGGAGGTGGTGGGTGACACCCTAACCCAGGGCAGCTTCCTAATTCTTCACACTCAAGACGAATCAAAGAAAAGCAAGTGTCTCTGTTCTGTCTGCTGAAGATTCACAGGTCTCATCAAACCGCTTTCACTGGAGTAAGTCCTTTTTCATTGGAAAAATTCGGGCACATTGCTATTCATGATCAGAATCACTGCTACTTTTCAGTGAGTTTTCAGCTGCTTATGTATTGAAATACTCATAATGTATTATTTGTTGTCCAAGTTTGTGAGTGTAATTCAAGAAACTGTATTTGCTTTAAGGTAGCTTTCTAATTTTGTTCTATTCCAGTCTATTCCAGTCTACATGAAATATAATTACATTCATTCAAGGGAACACACTAAAGATTTACATCTATATGTTGCAGAAAATGACTTCCATCATCATGATGTTCGCAGCTCTGGCAGCAGCAGCTCGAGCAAATGGTAAACTTAAGTTTTGAACAGTATGGAGGACAAAAATTCAGAAACAGAAGAATACAAATACTGTAATTGTGGAAATACATCTTCATTGTGTTTAACTGCAATGATATGATCCGTACTTAGTGACCATGGTCATTCTATATTTCTGTGTGAAAATAGTTGTTTTGGATGATTTTTTAGGTCCTACTGTATGCAGTTTCATCGAATCCCCTAGAATTGAGCAGTGTTTTGGAACAGAGGGACAGCCACTGATTTTTCATCTGTCAAATACAATAAATACGGATGTCAGTCTGACGAAGGACAATCGATTCCAAATCTTCGATTTTAAAAAAAGTGTGACTAAGTCAGTTAATAGTGAATATGTGTCTCAGTCTACGACCTACAATGGAACCCTTAATCTGGGAAAAGCAATGAAGAAGCACTCCGGACATTACCTACTGGAAGAATATGGAACTGATGGCAAAAACGTGAAAAAAGTCAATATGTCACTGCACGTTGAAAGTGAGTTATGTTTGTTTTTTTAATACTGACTGAGGCTGTTTGGAGCAACACACAGTCAGAATTGTTTTGATTCATAATTATTCATTCTATACTCATTGTAAAATCCTTCCATAATCCTTCCATATGTCAAAGTGGCCTTGATCAACACACTGACCCCATTTGGCTTCCAATGTGTCCACTCGGTTGGGAGCAAGCCTGGGTTGTTGTTGTATTTTATGTTTCATGAAGGTCTGATTTGCAGGCAGGTCAGGTCAGTTCAGTGATCTGACTCTGCTATTACGAACCAATGCTGTTTTAGTGGACGCAGCATGCAGTTAGGCATTTTCTTGCTGAAATATTCAAGGGCCACCCTTTAAAAAGAGGTCACCTGAGTGGAACAGAAGCTGCTTTTCAGGCCTGATTTACACCCCCATTGCTGTGTCCCCAACTTTTATCACCATGTAAAAGTCAGCTTCTTAAACGCAATTTATTCTAAATGAGCTTAAGCCTGAAACGTGGCCTCACCCCTTAGTTGTGTTCACAGATGACCGTTACTCGTTCCGAAAGCCATCCCTGTTTTTTTATTGTTTATGAAATCACAACATTATTTGCTTGCTTAAAAAAATACACCACAGCTTTGTGGTGATCATTGTGGCTAAGGGTTGAAAAAGCCTTTGAATTTGACTACAAAACACCATATATCTTAGTTTACACTTTTTAATATATTCCTATATAAGATAAGTATGTTTTTTCTTGCAGTTCCGGTGGCCAAACCAGCACTTTCTCAGAAGTGTTTTTCTCAAGAGAAGAAGATAATCACGTGCTCCTCTAAAATAGCTGATACAGAATTAGATGCAGAATTGATTTTGGAATTGGATAATCAATTGAATGTACACAATCAAGGCCACTGTCAGATCCTAAGCAACTGTTCAAGTAAAAAATGCAGTGTTTTAAGGGTTTCCATCAAGTTAAATGGAGAACTCACTGGAAGCGTTAAGTGTAAGGTTTGGAACAATGTCACCGAGGAAGAAACAGTCACCCATTTGTCTCCGTGCAGATGTACAAAGATTAAAGGTATGGTACCTTCAAGCTTTCAATTAATTCCAGATATAGTCAAATAATTTCAAACCAATTTAATAAACCAACTGTTCAAAATGACTAATTGCTTTTTAATTTCTTTCTTTCTTTCTTTTTTGAATTTTAATCGCATTCCACACTGAAATTTGAATCCTCCAGGACTTGATACTGTGAGCGTGGCTGTGATAGCTCTCATTGCTGTGGCTGTTCTTTTGGTGGTCATCGGACTTGTTATTGGGTCTTGTGAAAAACCAAGACCCAGATCAACTAATGAAGGTAAGTGAAAATATGTCCTGAAAAAAAATAATTGACAAAAAATGAAAAAGTTTGAACCTCTGATATAATTTGAATTGAAAATAAACATCTCTCTCTCCCCCCACCCCCCCCACTCCCCCCACCCCCAGAACAAGCTGAAGATGAAGTTATCTACACGGATGTTAGAGTGAGAAAAAACCCAAGAAAAACTGGAACTAAAATGATTCAAGAAACTGGGAATGACAACACAGAATGACTTTCCCCAAAGCATTAATTGGCTCAAAAAGTTTTCTTTTAAAGTTAAATAAAATAAAAAATAAAAAAATAAAAAAAGTTTTGAATAAGTTGGATTTTGATTGATGTTGAGTACAATACTTAAAACTTATCAGTTACCATGGCATTACTAGGTTAGTCATTAGACTCTATTGTTTCAACTAAATTGACTTTAAATGAGAATTTTACAATTTATTCTTGATTGTTGAAATGTTTTCACGTTTTCAATGTTTTCATGGATTTTGCTTTTGATTAAACATATTAACACATAGCATTGTGGAAGTATTCGAATTTTAATGGTCGACCTCTTTCATTCAATCATAATATTGATTTCCTAAGATCAAACATCAAACAATCATTCTATTAGTCATCCCACGCAAATAAGTCTGTTCAATTGTCAAAATTAGTCAAGAACCTAATACCATGAATGCCATATATGAATCTCTTGGAACATTTGATTAATTGATTAATTGACAGTCAGGTAAAAATAGAACTTGATAGAATAGAAATAGAATAGAACAAAGGAGAAGCTTGTGTGCTGCCATTTTTGTGAATGGTGTGGCCACTCACATCCCCAGTCTTGGCCCATACAATACTCAGAAGCTCCTCATCTTCTTGGAGCGCCTTCATTCCGACTTAATTCCTGAAAATGAGAGATGCCTTGCTGAGCCTCACCCAAGGATGGTCACGGTGTTCCTACCACCTTAGTCTTCTTTCTTCAATCCCAATGAGGAGTTTTTCTCTGCTTGGAGGTGGAGGGTGTATGAGAATCAGGCTCCAAATCAGAGGTCCCTGCTCCATGCAATGGATGCTGTGTATAATGATATCAAAGGGGATCAGTGCAGGGAATGGTTGTGACATTCATGCCATTTCTGCACTCATTGCATCACAAGGGAGAATATACGCTGTGGACAAAATCTGTGGCCAGACAGACAGCAGCGAGTGTGGGGTGGATGCTCCTACTACCACCACCAAGTTCTCCAATTACAGTCCAGCTGGAGGTGGAAGCCTTGGAACACACATATGTTTAATTCACTAAAATGTACCTTTTTTGTGGACACTTGATAAAGTGAGTACAGTGATAATTGAATGCAGTACAACAGAGCCCAAAAGGTAAGCCAAAGCCATGTAGATATCCTTTCTGACCTCACGATGGGGTCAAACCCCTGTTTAGTTCCTATGGAAGACTGGAACCAGCTTAAGAAACCCTTGAAATCTTTATTCATTTCTTTTTTTTACTTGGTACATTTTTTTACATGAAAGAATTGGTGGATGGGCTCCAGGATTTCCCTGGGCAACATGTTTAATTTTCCTTTAGCAAGATATTAATTCCCAAATTGTTAAAGTATGCCTAAAACATCTGGCATTTTCTAGTAAAAGTCCAACATGAATGTAGTTCACAAATGGTGGTGGGTCTTTTTTAAACATAAATAGGTAAAAGGGAACATGCAGTCAGCAACTGGCTGAGAATCCAAACCAGGACAACAGGTGGCACCAACGTGTCAGCGACAACCATCCAAAGCTGAGAGCAGCTAACGGGCAGTACCAGTCAGTCTGACATCTGTTTACTTTTTTCATTTCCATCTGAAAAAAGTAAACAGAAACTCTTTAAATATACTGTATGTTAAAGGGTTCATATAGGAATTAATATATCAAGCAATGATTTAAACCTGGAAGAGTTACACCAACTTCTTACCTTCTCTCACAGTTATGGAATTCTTTTTTCCAAAGGACTTGAACTTACTCAAAGTATGTGTGTGTTTCAGGCAATATCCAGATGTAATTGCAATGGCACACCCACAGACATCGATTCAACTGTTCCCATCAAAGTATCAAATATTTCAAAATATTTCATGATCGTGACTAATGTAATGATAAAAAAAAACATTCCTACAGATGAACGAATCAGACTTTGCTTTTTCAATGGTGTTTCAACAAAATCAGATAAAATAAAAAAGTAAAACTGATCTGGACAAAATCATAATTGAAATGAACCTAATCTATTTGTAAAAATTGGTGCTAGTTATGGCACCCTGAAAAGACAGTATAATAATTGTTTATGGAAAAATAGCAAACGGCACAGGTTGTCCGGCCAGAACAAAAATGGATTATCCCCAATGATAACACGCACACACTTTGTAGGGAACACCTCAAACTGTGAACCGTGTTTACGGTGCATGGCATAACACAGAATATTGACATTAAGAGTCTGAAATGTTCGTGAAGAAAGAAAAGATAGAGAGGACTCCTAAGTTAACAAAACGGTCCAGCGTGGAGGCTCCCTCTGGTCACTCTGCACTGACTTGCACATCTTCGATCCTGTTATAAACAAGTTTGTGGCGTTAAAGCTATGCAGATGAGCTTGTGTCCAGCCCGTGCGCAAGTTGACCAATCACAGTAGATCACACCCCATGTGCTCAGCTGTCCTGAGCATGCACTCGGAGTGTGACCAGTGATGGCCAGACACACTGAAGCCCAAATTCTGAACACTATCAGTGTGTTTCATAATCCTTTTTCTGCAATCAACACAAGCACCCCCTCCCTGGGCTGCCACCTTATCATGGTGTAGGAGTTTGAGTGTCTCAGTGATCCTAGGAGCTATATTGTCCGGGGCTTCAAGCCCCTGGTAGGGTCAACCAAGGCCAACAGGTCCTGGGTGAGGGATCAGACGAAGTGCAGCCCAAAGACCCCTTATGATGAGTACCATCAATAGAGCCAGTTTTCCCTTGCCCGGATGTGGGTCACCGGGGCCCCACCCTGGAGCCAGGCCCAGTCGTGGGGCACGTTGGCGAGCGCCCGGTGGCTGGGCTTTAGCCCATGGGGCCCGGCCGGGCTCAGCCAGAAGAGGAAACAAGGGTCCCCCTACCGATGCGCTCACCACCCATGGGAGGGGCCAAAGGGGTCGGGTGCATTGAATTTTGGGTGGCGGCCGGAGACAGGTGCCTTGGTGGACCGATCCCCAGCTGCAGAAGCTGGCTCTAGGGACGTGGAATGTCACCTCTCTGGTGGGGAAGGGGCCTGAGTTGGTGTGCAAGGTGGAGAGATTCCGGCTGGACATAGTCGGTCTCGCCTCAACACCCAGCTCTGGCTCTGGATCCAGCCTTCTTGAGAGGGGTTGGACCCTCTACTGCTCTAGAGTTGCCCCCGGTGAGAGGTGCCAAGCAGGAATGGGCACACTTGTTGCCCCCCATCTCGGTGCCTGTATGTTGGGGTCTACCCCTGTGAATGGGAAGGTAGCATCCCTTCGCCTCCGGGTGGGGGAACGGGTAATGACTTTCGTTGGTGCTTATGCGCCTAACAACAGTGCAGAGTACCCACCCTTTTTCGAGTCCTTGGAGGGGGTGCGGGAGGGTGCCCCCCCTGGGGGCTCCCTTGTTCTGCTTGGGGACTTCAACGCTCACGTGGGCAATGACAGTGAGACCTGGAGGGGCGTGGTTGGGAGGAATGGCCCCCCCAGCTTGAGGCCGAGTGGTGTTTTGTTGCTGGACTTCTGTGCTCGGCACGGATTGTCCATAACGAACACCATTTTCAGGCATAAGAGTGTCCATATGTGCTCTTGGCACCAGGACACTCTAAGCTGCAGTTTGATGATCGACTTTGTTGTCGCTTGGGTGTCCTGCGGCCATATGTCTTGGACACTCGGGTGAAGAGGGGGGCGTAGCTTTCCACTGACCACTACCTGGTGGTGAGTTGGCTACGATGGTGGGCGAGGATGCCGGTGAGACCAGGGAGGCCCAAACGCATTGTGAGGGTCTGCTGGGAGCGCCAGGTGGAGTCCCCTGTTAGGCGGAGCTTTAACTCCCACCTCCGGGAGAACTTTGAGCACATTCCGGGGGAGGTGGGGGACATTGAGTCCAAGTGGGCCTTGTTCCGCACCTCCATTAATGAAACGGCCTCCCGAAGCTGCGGTCGCAGGGCTGTCGGTGCCTGTCATGGCGGCAACCCTCGAACCCGCTGATGGACACCAGTGGTGAGGGATGCCGTCAGGCTAAAGAAGGAGTCCTATCGGGCCTTTTTGGCCTGTGGGACTCCAGAGGCAGCCGATGGGTATCGGCAGTCCAAGCGACATGCGGCTCGGGTGGTTGCCGAAGCAAAAACTTGGGCGTGGCAGGAGTTTGGGGAGGCCATGGAAAAAGACTTCCGTATGGCTTCGAGGCGATTCTGGTCCACCATCCGGCGTCTCGGGGAGGAAATCAGTGCTCCACCAACACTGTTTACAGTGGGGATGGGGTGCTGTTGACCTCAACTCGTGATGTTGTGGGTCGGTGGGCGGAGTACTTCAAAGACCTCCTCAATCCCACTGGTGCGTCTCCATTGGAGGGGCAGAGGCTGGGGATCTGGACTAGGGCTCTCCAATCTCTAGGGCTGAAGTCACTGAGGTAGGCCAAAAACTCCACGGTGGCAAGGCTCCGGGAAGGATGAGATTCGGCTGGAGTTCCTCAAGGCTCTGGATGTTGTGGGGCTGTGTTGGCTAACGCGACTCTGCAACATCGCGTGGACATCAGGGGCAGTTCCGCTGGATTGGCAGACTATTTAAAAAGGGGGACCGAAGGGTGTATTCCAACTACAGGGCCATCACACCCTTAAGCCTCCCTGGGAAGGTCTATTCAGCAGTTTTGGAGAGGAGGGTCCGTCGGATAGTCGAACCTCCGATTGAGGAGGAGCAGTGTGGTTTTCGTCCTGGCCGCGGAACGTTGGACCAGGTCTATACTCTCAGCGGGGTCCTGGAGGGTGCATGGGAGTTCACTCAACCAGTCCACATGTGTTTTGTGGACTTGGAGGAGTCGACCATGTCCCTCGAGGTATCCAGTGGGGGGTGCTCCGGGAGTATGGGGTACTGGGTCCCTTGTTACGGGCTGTTCGGTCCCTGTACGACCAGAGTCAGAGCTTGGTTTGCATTGACGGTAGTAAGTCGGATCCGTTTCCGGTAGGAGTTGGACTCCGCCAAGGTTTCCCTATGTCTCCGGTTCTGTTCATAACTTTTATGGACAGGATTTTTAGGCACAGCCAAGATGTTGAAGGTTTCTGTCTTGGTGGCCTTAGGATCGCATCTCTGCTTTTCGCAGATGATGTGGTCCTGTTGGCCTCATCAAGTCGTGATCTACAGCTCTTGCTGGAGTGGTTTGCAGCTGAGTGTGAAGCACCTTGGATGAGGATCAGTCTCTCCAAGCCTTATACCATGGTCTCTCACCGAAAAAGTGTAGAGTGCTTCCTCTGGGTTGGGGGGGAGTGTCCTTTCCAAGTGGAGGAGTTCAAATACCTTGGGGTTTTGTTCGCGAATGGGGGTAGGGATCGGGAGGTCAACAGGCAGATTGGTGCAGCGTAATGTGGGTACTGTTCCGGTCTGATGAAGAGAGAGCTGAGCCTAAAAGTGAAGCTCCTGAGTATTCAACAGTATCGATCAGCCAGGCACCATTTCTATGGGGAAACTGAATGTTCTCCCACTGTCTGCGTATGTTCCCTTTAGGTACTATAGCTTCTCCCACCATACAAAAATATGATTGTTAGGTCAAACGCAACACTCTAAATTTCCCCTAGGAGTGCGTGTGTGTTTGTGTCTATGGTAATTTGTCCATGTGTCTGGCCCTGTGATGTCAAGGGTGTACCCTGTCTCTTACCTGTTTCTGCTGGGAAACGATGTAGCCTCTGTGACCCTACAATGAATAAATGGTGTTTGTTCTTTCATTATCTCTGCTGTTTCTCTGCCATTGTTCCTTTTATTTCGATTGAAGAGCACAAACTACTTTTGTAGGTGATGTAGACAAACCACAAACTGAAATAAAGGTATGAGAACCAGCAGTCACCCACATTTTGAACACATTGTGGTCCAAATGTTTAAAGGCTATGCCTCCACCACACACACACACACACACACACACACACACACACACACACACACACACACAAAGAGTTTTTTTTAAAATAAATATATATATATACAGTCTTCCCCAGTTATTTATCAAGCTCTTATTTCTCAGAGCATTAAGACACATTATCACCATGTACTGTGGGGGCCTTAGGTATCTACAATACAATGCACATTGAAAATGTTTAAATGCAATACTTTTTGGTTCACATGCATAACCAGATATACTGTGGACTGTACATGGCCATTATTGTTAATGAAAGAGTGGTATCTGCTAGCAAGTGTTCCAAACTAAAAGCGCTGCTTGTGTATCTGCCATCATTCATTTGGCCTACATAAAAGTCTTTCTATTATCTGCTGTTTCTGTAGCATGTTTTTCTAAATGTACACGGTGTTGTAGTTGATACAATAAACTGCAAATGTAAAAAATGCGTTGAGAGGCATCTATCAAAAGAAAAGTTATTTTGGTTGGAACGGGTGAATGTGGTACTTCCTCTCCCCTGCCTCACAAACCCACAAAAAAAACCCAACAGACATGAACTCAATCTAAGTTCCTGTTACTTATGAGATTTAACTTTTTACTTTTAATTTTATAGTTTAAAATATTATGATAGAATAACTTAAAAAAGCAACATGTTTTGTTATTATACTTATGTGTATATTCTAAACATACACAATAAATGACTTACAATCCTCTAAAACTCTTAGTTTTTACAGTTAATTAGTCTTAATCACTATAGTCCAGACACAATTAAAAAGTTTTGACAAACCACAGAATTCAGTTTGAATTCTAAATAATTATTTAAAATGAAATAAATATGTGGCCATTTTTACCAAATGACTGGACTTCATTACATTTCAAAATTATACATAACAGATAAGTAAAGGTCTCTAGAGAAATTGCACGTTGACTCACTCACTCTCAGAACATATTTCCATCCACATCTAATGTTATTTCCAATTCTTTATCCAACTACTGACAAATGACGGCATGCTCTTTTCTATTTGTCTGCTTAGTGTGTCCTTTAATACATAGATTCAGTGGGCTGCAGAATGAACTTAAGTATCACATGATTGCATAACTAATGTTATGTGAGGATGTGCTTCCTCATCCTCACATAACATTTAAGGAACTGAAAAACCAGCCTACTCTCAGTAGAAAATTGACCCTCGTGTCAGTACGACACACAGAAGATTTCCATTTAAAGGTGAGTGACACCAACATAATCTAAATGTTATTAATTTTATTTAGCTTGACTTATACTATGCAGGTAAGTAAATTATATCATAGTCAAAACCTTTATGAAAACCAGTATGTCAAAGTCATTACATACCATAAGCTTTAGAGATAAAACACATTCTTCAGCAGGAGAAAGTGACCCTTGAAAAATCACTAGATTGCCGATTGACTGCTGGAAATGATTTTTCTCCTAATCTCATCATTATTACAACTTTTGTGTCCAAAGTTCTCACTACAGATAAAGTTTGAAGCAAATGTGTTACTTTGGCACGACCAAATTAAAGATGGTTCTTTCCATCTTTATTTAACATGGAAAGAATTCAATCTAATCGCTACTTTACAGGTTTGCATTAAAATTTGAAACAATTCCACATAGTTGTAAGGGGAATTAATTTTTAAATCCTCATTATTAGAAAAGTTGTTCAATCTCCCTCTAGTTTGAATCAATAGACAATGTTGAGATCATCACAAACACACAGAGTATAAGACAACCCGTTTTCAAACATGCATATGAAAAGTACGTTTGAATTTTTGTAAAGTCTCTTCATTTTGGTAATACTTTTTTTTGTATCATTATTATTTTTTCTGTAGGGTTTCAAAAGTGGTGTTAGTGAATATTGAAAAACACATTAGCACTTTCAAATACATAGTCAAGGAATGAAAAGTGTTTTGCTCTTGGATGTACTCTTAAACATCAAATACACAAAAACCTAGACTGAAAAAAATCCATATAAAAATAAATCACTTTTTTTACTGACCCAAAGACAGTAAAGAAAATCTGTATTTTGCGCACAGTTTTCAGAGCAATAGAAAGCACAGCAAAAATAATCAAATTTGGAATATAGGAATTAGAATAAAACATGCTCAGTGAATTGGATTATAAAGATACGTTACATTTTTTTTATTTATTAAGGATCATTTTGCTAAATTTATTCTGCCATCACAAAAGGCTGCACAGGGTGTGATGCTTAGCACCGTGGACTCACAGTGAGAGACTTCCTCCCAGAGTCCAAAGAAATACATGTTATTTCCACTGAACCTGTGACCTTTTTGGAACTGGGGAAAGCAAATGGTCCTGTATGTACTATTCACAAGCTTTTTTCAGAAAATGTTCCAGATCAGATTAATGTGAAGGGGCAGAAAACAGGATGACATCACTACATCAAAGTGAGGGCTAACTGTCCTCTAACCTAATTCCTGAAATTTGTTCAATAATCCTGTAAGTACTCCCCAATATGTTTTTTTTTATAAATCTGTAGCACAAAAATTTAAAGAGAAAAGAAAATATGTGTGGCAGTTCAGCCACCGTGGGTGCCTCGACAGATTCTCCGCGACCAGGGTCTTTTGTCGGACTCTTTATTTTGTGTGCGCGCATGCACCCACACACACTCACACACACGCACATGCCCAGTGTTGAGATGTTTTTGGGATTCCAATGGGTTTTTTCCGTTCTGCTGTTCTGTTTGTTCCGTCTCCAGTCCTCTCTGTCCAGGTCCAGCACGCTACTGTTTTTATAAAATGGGAGAGTGATTAGCCAACTGATTTCATGTATGCTAATCACCCCCCTGGCAATGATCCCCTAAGCCTTCCCCACATGTCCTCTCCTGCAGCTGAGCGCCACGCCCCCTCCACAATGTGTATTTCAGCTCAAGAGTTATAAGATGCGTTTTTTCCCCTTTCAACTTCTTTTGGTAAAACCTTTATTTTATCTTTACAGACAATGACTTTGATCAGCCTGCTCATCACAGTTTTGGTCGCAACCGATCTGGTTAAAGGTACAATTTTAAATCACTTAGTACATTTTTACCCAATTCAAACATGTCAAATGTGAGACTGTTTGGTACTGGATGGTTTGGTCATCATCACCATAATCATCACCATCATCATCATCAAGCTGTTCATCACTTCATTGTGAATTCAGATGAAAAACCAGCTATGATAAACCAACTTTTGCCAAATGTAACCTTTACAGTCGTAGAACAGTTGATCATATCAACTTGCCTGAATAATTGTTTTCTTTACAGTGACCAGAAACATGTCACCGTTCATAGTGAGACTTATTTCGTCTTTCCCCCCTTCCCTTTCTTCTCTCTCAGGAGTAATGGAATGCAATGTAACCAAACCTACTGAAACCCAGCAGTGTTTCGGAGCACTTGGGGAACCACTGATTCTTCACCTGCCTGTTGATAAAACTATACAAACAACGCTGAAAAAGGGTACTCAGTTCTCATTGAGGTTTAATGGTATTTCACAAAAAGATATGAATGCAGAAACAGTCAGGTCAAAGAATCCATTCACACAGCTCGATAATGGAACATTGAGGATTGATCAGACAACAAAGAACGACGCTGGAGTTTATCAACTTGAAGTACATTCATCTTCCGATGGCAAGTTTCTACAGAAAACCAACATCAACCTAAAAATACTTGGTAATTTCATGTCTTTACTTTCAGAATGTTTCCATGGAAAGTTTAGAAATTAGGATCTTTTGGACATACATCCAAACCTCTCCCTGGGCTGCCATCTTATCTTGGTGGAGGGGTTTGAGTGTCCCAGCGATCCTAGGAGCTATGTTGTCCGGGGCTTCAAGCCCTGGACAACATAGCCCTGGGTCACCCAAGGCAAACAGGTCCTAGGTGAGGTGAAGCGCAGCCCACAAGACCCCCCATGATGAATACGACAAATGGACCCAGCCTTCCCTTGTCCGGACGCGGGCCACCGGGCCCCCCCCCTGGAGCCAGGCCCGGGGGCGGGGCACGATGGCGAGCGCCTGGTGGCCGGGCCTTCACCCATGGGGCCCAAGCTCGAAAAGGCAACATGGGCTCACCACCCATGGGACGGGCCAAGGGGGTCGGGTGTGTTGTGCCCTGGGCCGCGGCCGGAGTCAGGGACCTTGGCGGACCGATCCCCGGCTACAGAAGCTGGCTCTAGGGACGTGGAACGTCACTTTTCTGGTGGGGAAGGAGCCTGAGCTGGTGTGCGAGGCGGAGAGATTCCGGCTGGACATAGTCGGTCTCGCCTCAACGCACAGCTCTGGCTCTGGAACCAGCCTTTTCGAGAGGGGTTGGACCCTCTACTGCTCTAGAGTTGCCCCCGGTGAGAGGCGCCGAGCAGGAGTGGGCATACTCATTCCCCCCCATCTTGGTGCCTGTACGTTGGGGTTTACCCCAGTGAGCGAGAGGGTAGCATCCCTTCGCCTCCGGGTGGGGGGACGGGTCCTGACTGTTGTTTGTGCATATGCGCCTAACGGCAGTACAGAATACCCAGCCTTTTTGGAGTCCTTAGAGTCGTTTTGCTGGGGGACTTCAACGCTCACGTGGGCAACGACAGTGAGACCTGGAGGGGCGTGGTTGGGAGGAATGGCCCCCCCAGCTTGAACCCGAGTGGTGTTCTGTTTTTGGACTTCTGTGCTCGGCACGGATTGTCCATAACGAACACCATGTTCAGACATAAGAGTGTCCATATGTGCACTTGGGACCAGGGCACTCTAGGCCGCAGCTCAATGATCGACTTCGTTGTCGTTTCAGCTGATCTGCGGCCGCATGTTTTAGACACTCGGGTCAAGAGGGGGGCGGAGCTTTCCACTGACCACTACCTGGTGGTGAGTTGGCTCCGTTGGTGGGGGAGGATGCCGGTGAGACCCGGGAGGCCCAAACGCATTGTGAGGGTCTGCTGGGAGCGCATGGCAGAGTCCCCTGTTAGGCGGAGCGTTAACTCCCACCTCCTGGAGAGCTTCAAGCACGTTCCGGGGGAGGCGGGGGACATTGAGTCAGAGTGGGCCGTGTTCCGCGCCTCCATCAATGACTTGGCCTCCCGGAGCTGCGGTCACAGGGCTGTCAGTGCCTGTCGTGGCGGCAACCCTCGAACCCGCTGGTGGACACCGGCGGTGAGGGATGCCGTCAGGCTGAAGAAAGAGTCCCATCGGGCCTTTTTGGCCTGTGGGACTCCGGAGGCAGCCGAGGGGTATCAGAGCCTGGGGATCCGGAGTTGGGATCTCTAATCCGACCTCGGATAAGCGGAGGATAATGGATAGATGGATGGATGGATGGATGGATGGATGGATGGATGGATGGATGGAT